TGTCGTCCTGTAACAAACCCAGTGCCGTGCAGGCCGACTTATAGGTTGATGTAGAACACGATCAACTGCTCTGAGATATTCAAACGACGTGGGACCTATGATTTTGTTGAGCAGCAATCGAAGATGGTAACATTCTGAGTTATTCGGGTGCACAGTGTAGACCCGACCCAGCACATTATCCTTTGTCACACACAAAACCCCTGGCAGTTTTCCCCTGCTTCCTTCGACGAAACGTGTTGTTTGTCCACACATAATATGACCGAATTTAATAATAATAAAATTATTTCGCAAAATCCTCGTGGTTACAGAGTTCAAAGAACGCTAAAAGAGTCGTCTGTGGCGGCTTGCTTACCTTATCGACAACGTTGGCTTGTGTGAAGTAAATTCTTTGTCCATGCTCAAGATGCACAGCAAGATGAACGACCGGGGGGGGGGGTAACGTTCATGAATGGGGAAACAGAAGATGCGCCAGGCTGCCTCAGAACACATTTATTTCGCAAACACCTTCTGGGATGATTGTCTACCATATTTTCCATTTAATGCATATTAGCTGTGTTGCTCACGGTTGAAATGGGTTGAAAGACTTTGCCATTGTATGCTTGTAATTAGTTTTTGTAGTGTTGCGTTTGTTTTAAATGTGGTAAATTATAGATTTTTTACTCTTGTACCGTGCTTCGAGCCTTTGGGGATGAAGCGTGTTTTTGAAATACACTTTATTGTTATTATTACTAATGTAACGGCCAGCTTCGTATCGAGACACCACGTCATTTTTATCTTGTATTGCAAACACTGCCTGGTCACTCCCCTTGTTTACATACCTGCAGATGTATTTTATAGATTTGACTGAATTGCAAAATTCTACATTGATGTGAGTATTGAAGAAGCGGCACAACACAGGACTATGAAGGACCACTTATCTGTAGTCGATATGTGTACACCATTGATGGTTATTACATGACCTCCTTCAGAGTTTCCGATATAAAGGGATGCGGGTACTTTTTACGGCATGTTCCGTTGATCATGCAGGTTGAGTTGATATTATGAGGTCCGCATGCACCGTGAATCATCGTTGATTTTACTATTTCGTGGAGGGTAGTGTCAGTCTGTGGATCAGGAATTTCGGCACGGATGACTTGATCGACGACAACTTGGTTAATCCTATGCTGTAGCCACAGGAGGGTGTGTGCATGGGGAAGACCTCACTTTTGCCACTCTATTGTGTACATGTAGCAAGTTGTACAGCCGAAATTGTTACTCTTGGTGACCAAGTCTATCACTTTGCGAATTTTCAGATGAAATACACGACTGATGAGGTCGTGGCGATCGTGAGGTTTCTGATGCTATTGTATTTCTCATAGGGTATCGCCCTTTGTTATTTTCTGTTTAGAACGAGCCATAAACTTAAATATATGAGATTGATAACTCCTTATAGAAGGCAGTGCGTAACAGTTTTTACTAATGATTTACATATCATTTTTTCAGCAAAATACCCTTTATCAATGTATCTTACGGAAGTTATCAATACAAAATCACTGTCTCTCAAAGTTGATTCATCCATTTGCACTAATAATTTTCTTGTTTTCAGCTTTTCAACAAGTTGAATTTCAATATCTTCATTGCTCTAGTGCATCTGTTGTGTCTATTCTTCTGCTAACAATATTGTTCCTGAGTGACATAGATTTCCCGTCTTTGTCATCTTTGTCCAGAATAGCTGCTATTGAGGGTTTGATTCAATTCTTTCCTATTGCATGGGCGCCCATCTCCTATAGCATGGGCGCCCATCTCCTATAGCATGGGCGCCCACCTCCTATAGCATGGGCGCCCACCTCCTATAGCATGGGCGCCCACCTCCTATAGCATGGGCGCCCACCTCCTATAGCATGGGCGCCCATCTCCTATAGCATGGGCGCCCACCTCCTATAGCATGGGCGCCCACCTCCTATAGCATGGGCGCCCACCTCCTATAGCATGGGCGCCCACCTCCTATAGCATGGGCGCCCATCTCCTATAGCATGGGCGCCCATCTCCTATAGCATGGGCGCCCATCTCCTATAGCATGGGCGCCCACCTCCTATAGCATGGGCGCCCATCTCCTATAGCATGGGCGCCCACCTCCTATAGCATGGGCGCCCACCTCCTATAGCATGGGCGCCCATCTCCTATAGCATGGGCGCCCATCTCCTATAGCATGGGCGCCCACCTCCTATAGCATGGGCGCCCACCTCCTATAGCATGGGCGCCCACCTCCTATAGCATGGGCGTCCACCTCCTATAGCATGGGCGCCCACCTCCTATAGCATGGGCGCCCACCTCCTATAGCATGGGCGCCCATCTCCTATAGCATGGGCGCCCACCTCCTATAGCATGGGCGCCCACCTCCTATAGCATGGGCGCCCACCTCCTATAGCATGGGCGCCCATCTCCTATAGCATGGGCGCCCATCTCCTATAGCATGGGCGCCCATCTCCTATAGCATGGGCGCCCACCTCCTATAGCATGGGCGCCCATCTCCTATAGCATGATTGTTCCTTTATTTCGCGATGAGTAAGGAAATGTCATAACTCGCCTCAAGCATACGATTGACAGTGGAATCTTTTTTTTCTCCAAATATAAGTTAAATCACAGTAGATGGTTTGTTTTCAAATTCCAGAAATAAATAAAAGGACTGCTTTCAAGCTTAGTAAATTAATGAAATAGCAAAAAGTGTTTCCCACTTCCGGAGACACGAATGAATACTGCTTGAGTTGTCTACTGTGCTCTTTTCTTTGTTATATTTTCATTTCTATTGTTGGCTGAGGAAGGCTTTATGCCGAAACGTCCTTGTTTTTTTTCCTGTCATCTTATTTCAAGCTTCCACATACCTCATTTTGCTATTTCATTCAAATTCTAGACAGCTCATCTTCCAATTGCCCCACATAAACAATCAAACTGCCACCCCTTGGTGCGTGGGCACCACGTTGGGAAACACCGGTCTAGACTCTAGGGCAGCAGTTCTCATTAATTTGGGGGTCGCGCGATCCTTACACGGGGGTCGCCTAAGACCACCGGAAAACACATATTTATGATGAAGCAACGAAAATATTATAGTTTGGGGTCACCACAACATGAGGAACTGTATTAAAGGGTCACGGAATTAGGAAGGGTGAGAACCACTGCTCTATAGTGCATCTGTTGTGTTTAGTCTTTAAGGCATCCGTCGTGTCTATTCTCTAAAGCATATCTTGTGTCTATCAGTCTCTTGAAGTTTGTTGTGTCTAGTCTCTAAGGCATCTGTTATGTCTAGTCTCTAATGCAGTATGAGGCACCTGTTGTGGCTAGTCTCTAAGGCATATGTTGTGTCTAGTCTCTTAAGGCATATGTTGTGTCTATCAGTCTCTTAGACGTTTGTTGTGTCCAGTCTCTACGGCGTATGTTGTGTCTAGTCTCTAAGACAGTCTAAGGCATCTGTTGTGTCTAGTCTCTAAGACAGTCTAAGGCATCTGTTGTGTCTAGTCTCTAAGACAGGATAATGCATCTGTTGTGTCTAGTCTCTAAGACAGTATAAGGCATATGTTGTGTCTAGTCTCTAAGACAGTCTAAGGCATCTGTTGAGTCTAGTCTCTAAGACAGTCTAAGGCATCTGTTGTGTTTAGTCTCTAAGACAGTCTAAGGCATCTGTTGTGTCTAGTCTCTAAGACAGTCAAAGGCGTCTGTTGTGTCTAGTCTCTAAGACAGGATAAGGCATCTGTTGTGTCTAGTCTCTAAGACAGTATAAGGCATCTGTTGTGTCTAGTCTCTAAGACAGTATAAGGCATCTGTTGTGTCTAGTCTCTAAGACAGGATAAGGCATCTGTTGTGTCTAGTCTCTAAGACAGGATAAGGCATCTGTTGTGTCTAGTCTCTAAGACAGGATAAGGCATCTGTTGTGTCTAGTCTCTAAGACAGTCTAAGACATCTGTTGTGTCTAGTCTCTAAGACAGGATAAGGTATCTGTTGTGTCTAGTCTCTAAGACAGGATAAGGCATCTGTTGTGTCTAGTCTCTAAGACAGTCTAAGGCATCTGTTGTGTCTAGTCTCTAAGACGGTATAAGGCATCTGGTGTGTCTAGTCTCTAGATTCCTATTCAAACGGACCTTTCCTTGCCCAACGTGGGCGTTCTTTAAACATCGGCTCGATGTTCGTTTCTGATGCTATTTCCTTCGCAGTGGTCGTGGCTGGTGCTAGTCCTTCTTCCTGAACGTTTTGTGAGAAGAAACAGATTAAATGGAGACATAAAGTGACATTCCTACACCCTACCTGCTCGCCTTTAAACAATAGTCCTACAAACATTCCTATACCCTACCTGCCGGCCTTTAAACAATAGTCCTACAGACAGTCCTACACCCTACCTGCCGGCCTTTAAACAATAGTCCTACAGACATTCCTATACCCTACCTGCCGGCCTTTAAACAATAGTCCTACAGACAGTCCTACACCCTCCCTGCCTTTAAACAATAGTCCTACAGACAGTCCTACACCCTACCTGCCAGCCTTTAAACAATAGTCCTACAGACAGTCACCATATACCATACTCGCGGATCTTTATTAATATAATGGTGGCCTCCCTCTAAGAAATATGTTTTACCCGAGTTCACCTGTCAGGCTTTACAGACACCGTTTTCTTCACCCCGTACATTGAAAATAAAACACGAAGAGCTTGGGGGAGAGCCAACAGAGGAAAAATATAAAAAGAAAGAGATTTGGGGGCTGGGTGCGGGGCAACAACAGCATGGGGCTTTGGGTGCTCGCCCCGTTCACCATCCTTAGCTATGGCCCTGCCCACATTTGATTTCCGTTAAAAGCTCCAGAAGCTATTTTTGGTTCCATTTCCAAATGTATTCACACGCTGCTTATTTATCTTGTTCCAAAAAATATGAATTACTGTAACTTCAAAAAGTTATGAAAAATTCATGTTTAATTCATTTCAATATATAAATAGATTGTAAATTTGTAGATTTATGATAGTTTATTATAGTTATAGTTGCTCACTGGGGGGTGGGGTGGGGTGCAGGTATAACATTCATGCTGATGTTCCTTCACTTTTTAAAAATTAGAAACGACCAAAAAAAAAAAAATGATCGATGCATCATATCTTCATAGACATATAGCAATAATATATTTATTAATAGTCATCTCCCCTGGTGACCACCTCTTTGCATGTCGGCCTCAGGATAATGGTGTGTTCAAACTGGGCAGTGTAGCATCCCATCCGGTCACAGAGCGGCGGGTAGGGGTCAATGATACCAACGTCACAGAGATTTTTCAGGGCCATCTGGTACTTGGTCTGGTCGAGACGGTCCAACCAGCGGCGACAAAACGCGAGCGTTCCAAAGTTTTGGTTGATGACATTGAGCAGTTGGAATGACTTGGCCGACCTGAGAGGAATGTGGCCCACTTTAAAGTCCTTCATATAATGGGACACCTCCATTTCATCGTGAACGAGACCTTTGCCGGTACTACCAAAAGTCTCTATGGCATAGACCTCACCCTCCTTCATTCTCTTTTTGAATTCTTCTCCAACCTTTACAATGGGAACACTCTTCCCGCCGTGGATTCTGTATTGACCGACCGAGTGACCATTTAAATTTCTGATGGGCTTCACTTGATACGTTTTGCCGTCAAGTTCAACTTCGTAGGACTCCATGACCTCTTGAATCTCCTCCCCCAAATCTCTGAGCCTGACGTCAATGCCTGACGCACGTATGCCTGCGTTTGTAGCTTCTTTCACAGCCAATAATAACTGATCGTACTTGGGGTTGAAGGTCAATGTGAAGGCACAATCAACCAGATGGCCGTTTACGTGGGTGCCAAAGTCAATTTTGCAGACATCGTCGTAATGTAGAACTGTTGTGTCACCAGTATTGGGGGTATAGTGGGCGGCACAGTGGTTCAGAGAACAGCCAGTTGGAAAAGCGAGTCCAGCTTCCAATCCATTTTCTTTGATCAGTTTCCTGGCTGTATTTTCCAGCTCTTCACAAATCTCCAGCATGGTCATCCCAGGTTTAATGACTGTCTTCATATACTGCCTTGTCTGTCTATGTGCTTCCGCTGCCAATCGCAAATCCTCATATAAGTGACTGTGTGACCTGTCCAGCATTTTCTTTTCTTCATCAGTCATTCGGTTTTTGGCTGTTCGGTCATCCTGATCTATTGGATACTCCAAAACTTCTCCTTCTGGATATTCCCCTGGATTGAAAAGATCAACAATTGGTACTGAAGGTGGCACTGTTTGCTGCTTACTTACATTGTTGGCTTTTTTCTTTTTATTTCTCCTTTTCTTCTTCTTTACATCAGCTTCTGGAGATTCATCTCCTTGCCCCATGTTGACTGTACAACGTGCATTGATTTCAATAATTTCATTTACAATATTTTCACTGGCAAGATTTTCTTCCCCGTTTACTTCTTCAGAACCATTACCTTGTTTTTTTTTTCCTTTTTTCGGCTTCTTTTTTTTCTCTGATGTTTTTCCGTTGTCATTTTCTATAATTGTTTCTAATTCTGCTTGGAAATCCTTGCTTTCCTTGGTTGATTCCTTATACTCACACGGAGCAGTCTTGACATCCGCCATCTTTAATCACGGACTGTAGTTTGGCAACCAGCGCTGCCACTCACTCTTTTTAAAATTTCCCCAGATTATAAAATATTAAAAAATATTATAAAAATATAAAAAAATATGTAAAATATTCCAGACTATTTGAAATGTAATACAAGATGAGGCAAAAGGGTCGTAAGATCTGGTTGCTAACTGAGAGTAGGAGCCAGAATGATCAATAAATTGATCGTGGGCCCTTAATATAGGCCTATAGAAGAAGAAGAAGAATATCAGAGTCTTAAAACACTTTAAAAAAAAAAAAATATTTTAAAAGAAATGTTAGATATTCATTTTACATATTCGTTTACTCCTAAAACTATACTCTATAGCCTACATGTCATTTAAAAAAATATATTTTTGTTGTATATGTGAGACTATTTTGTATTCATTCTTTTATATATATATATATATTTTTTTGTAATGGATATTTAAAACTAATCAAATGACAGTGCATTTAGTACTTTGATTTGTTTCAATTTCAAATTACTAATATTTGAAAACCGCATTTATTAATCTGATTGCTGCACTTGCATTTTTAAAGTACATTGTACTTCTATAAGTCAATTCAGTTTCTGATTTCTTAGCCTAAACAGTAACAGTTGCGTAGCTATGATGAGTGCCGCAAGGGGGGGGGGGCGGATAAATATTTTTGCCACCCCTTCCACCCTAAAAAAATCTTCATTTAATCGAAAATGACACCCTTCTATATAACGAAGAAAAAAAAGGGCTGTCCAGGGCGGACAATCCCTCTCTCTACTCTCTACGCCACTCAACCTAAGTCCCCTTGATTTACTTGGACACTTGTAGCAATAGCCTCTCGTCTCCGCTTTCTAGGGTTTGAGTTGATTAGCTTAGTTACTAAAAAAATATTTATTTTATTTTTTAAAAATTTAAATAATATACGCAAACAGTGGCGTAATAATGGCGTTGTCGACCGGGGGGGGGGGCGCTTTTTTCTTTATTTTTGAAGAGGCAGCATTTTCGCTATGGTGCAGCAATGCCGTGGTTTTTTTCGTGGGGAGGTCACGGCAAAAGGTTAGCCCATCAATGTTCCCTCTAAGGTTTGCTGGTTCGTGTGCAAAATCATACAGTTATGTGCAAAGTTTTACAGCATAATTTTTTTTGTGCGCAAAATTTTACAGTCTGCAAACACAAACACACTCTTACATGGAAATGTTCTGCGCGGATACTGAAAACTGCTGCGCGGCGTCTGTGAGTGAACTGCGCGGCCGCGCAGCCACGCAGATTAAAGGGAACATTGTAGCCCACCCCGTGTGACCTTATATTTTTCTCTTCTCCTATGTTTTCCTTCCCCTTTCCTTCCCCTTTCCATTATTTTCCAAATATTTTAATCAAGCCGGGATGCTCCACATTTTCCCATAGTTTTTCAAAATTATTTCTCTGTTCCATAGGCAGGGGTATCATGAATTCCCAAGATCTGGGGAAGTTTCCCAAGAACTTATAGCGCTGTTGCCAACTAACTACAGATGTTCTAGGCCGCGCTAAAAATCTATTTATAATAATTTAAATTTTTACATTATCATTGTACAAAGAATAAAAAAAAAATCACCGGAGAGTATTTTGAAAACATTTTTTAAAATATGCATTTAAAAACTATTGTATATGAATAGATCAAAACAGAATAAAAAAGAATTAGAAATATGCCTAATTATTATGTTATTTCAAAAACTAGGCATTAGCTGCATTACTGCTTGGAGATTCAAAATGGCAGCATGTAAACAACACAGAGTACAAGCAGACATAAAAGAAAGTTTGTTTATAGTTATTGATATTGATTTCAAATAAAAATTCATATGTAATGGAAAAAAAAAACTATTATGAATTCAAATGTAAATTCCTCCATGAATATAAAAGGATGCGATTTAAATGATTGAAATCACAATGACAGCCCAATTTTCATTTGAATTTGACTTTTAATGTAGGGTACAATTTTCGGTAATCTACCACTTGAGCGTCGGCCAAGAAAAAATCCAGTTGTTCCGTTTGGAAGGGCTATTTAAACAACTATTCTTACATTGGAGTATGTTAATATGTTTGCTTCCGTATAGAGGCCATAAAGTTGTGTAGCACAATACTAATACATTTAAATAATTATTACTGCCACGCTACCGATATGCCAGGAAGAAAAGGAGACTACAATTATTTTTTTTTGGTTCCAGATGACGCGGATGTCCACACACAGAGTGTGGAAAACGTGAATGCTCAGAAAGCGTAAAATGAAAAGACAGTTTGACACAAGAAGCGCCGGTGATCTTTCCCTTTCATATTTACGTGGATTCATGTACCACAACCATTTTCGTGGAAATTATATTTTTTTTAAACTTCATTGTCAACTTGGGGGAGAACTATGCATAATTCCATTTTCACACATTATCTTCTATTTCAAAAAAATTGTTTATTATTATGGGAATGAATACGTACAACCAGTGTCATTAAAAATAATATAAGAATAGTTGTTTAAACGGTCCTTCCAACCGGAATAGCTGGATTTTTTCTTGGCCGACGCTCAAGTGGTAGATTACCCAATTTTCATTTGACTTTTACTGTAGGGTACAAATTTTAAAGTGAAGTTATAGCTTTAAGAGCTAGTTGGTTAGATAGGGCCTGAAAAATGCAATTCATTGATACCAAAGCTATTTTTGTAGGTTGATTTTAAAGAAAGTTGTTACAGATGTTTTTGGCCGCTGTGCCCTGTAAAGGCTAAGGGTTAATTAGGATTTAATTCAATCAAAGACTCAAGAACAAACACCTGTCAACTTCTTATTCTTACACTTACAGACTTTTACTCTTTAATTAACTTTTAATTAAGTAGCCACTTCACTAAGCTGCGCGCGCCGGTCGATTTTTCGGATGCGAGAAACAGACCATTAACCGGCGACCGGTCAATGCCGGTAGGTCACAGGGTCATGTTTAGATTTCGTTTCTTTGTCTATGCAAGGGACAGACAATGAACTTCCTATAGTCTATTTTGTGCCCACGAGGACGATCATTACGAAATAAACTTTTTCACCGGACTGACAGGCTTGTGGCAGATATCTTTCGTTGGGAAAACAGGTAATTTTGCTAGCGCTATATTTCGGAAACCATTATCGTATTGCAATTAATTCCTTTTGTATTGAATGTAAAAGTGATTTAACTAATTGAAGCNTGATTTAACTAATTGAAACAAGAAACATATTGACATTTAGATAGGCCGTAAATTGTATAAACAGGGCGTTCGGGCGTAAATTTGAGCAATAGCTCCTGACCAGTTATCGATAAGGCCAAATGCACCGGAAGTGATAACCATTCTCTGTTATTATTATTCTTATTGCATAAGAAGTATTTACAAATCTTTATAAATCTATTGTTTTTAAAAGCAATCCAGTTCATTTTTATTATTAAACTCGTTTTTATTTCATGAATGAAAACAAATTTATAAATATTTATGAAATTTCATTTTGTAAAATAATAAAATTTACATCCGTGATAACCATGTCAAAACTATATGATATATCAACTTGAATAATTTAAATATATGTTGTAATTGTAATAATTATCAAACTTCACAACAGTGAATTATATATAATATATTTGGAAATTAAATAATGCCCTTAATGATATAATTTATCTTAAACCCAGATTAGATACGGTAAACAATGAATAGTTGTTGTAGTAATAGGCTCAGCAGCTACTAAACTAAATACTTAATGTCATTACCTATTTCGATTAAATTTCATTATTTTATTTACCTTTGTATTCTAAATAACCTATCTCTCTTTTTTCATTTTCCTTTTGTATACCCTATTTTTAAAAAAAAGTTATTTTCTTTCTTTTAAATACACAGCCATTTTAAGCCATTGCAGCCAATTGATAGACGAGCTGTCTTGAGGACCCATCAAGACTACCAGACTTTTTTTACATAAGTAAATTTATATCTGTTAAAGCTCCTTAATGACTTAATGGATATGAAATACAAACTACTTGACTAAATCTGAATAAAAGCAATGTTAGAACATCACAGTATAATATCTATACATACTGGCTATACAGCATAAGTAAAATAACCATTGTCTTAATTAATGAATAATTTAATTACAATATTATTAAACTACTGAATTACACAATCTTAAATTAAAGACATATAAATTAAATAAGGTACCTTATGTTAAATTGCTTATTTTGTGTTTAATTAAATCGATTTTCAATCTCTATTTCAGTTTGTCTGGACTACAATACCACATTGAATTACAAGGAGTTTGTGTTGCGATGAAGCGGAAATAATGCCTCTTCTGCTTAGAGGTATTGACTTCCAAGCTGTGCCAAGTGTTGCTTCAGCAAAACATCTCTAGATATGTCTTTGGAATATTGGCTTCTGATACCAAAATGTGTCTGCACTTACAATTTCACTTAAATTGTTGTACCAGTCTTTCCTGTTTTAACAAAAACCTATCAGTTGTGACTGCATGTCCAACTGGACAATCCACCAGAGCATTATCTTAACAGCTATTGATTTTTTCACCAACTACCGCATTTATATGGCAATTTATACACTCAGGACTCCTATTTATCATCATGATGGGTGGAAGCAATAATATTGACAAAAAGTAAACCATTGCGGAAAACCATTCATTACCAATGGTATCTACACTCGGGACTCCATTCATCTGTGTCATAAACTGAATCATTACCAATAACTGTTACAAATTGGACTCGGCCAACACATAACTTGTGACCATCATCTTTCTATGAAAGAAAATATATCTCTTTTATTCAGCCTTTCAATGAACTATAGACAATAGAAGTACTAAAATAATATTAAGTGATCATCATTTGTACTGTGGATTTCAAATAGCATGGCTACTTGGATATCAATTTCATGGATTGGATCATGGATGATTGGATTTTGATATATGTGATCAGCATTTTTTCAATGCTATTTATCCATTATAATACATTATTTTATAAATCTTTTCTGTGGAA